CCACACCTTTTTTGTATGCAGCTTCGTGGTGATTAAATTTGATATTTCGGAAACCAAAATGTATTTCCAGCTCCATTTTTCGAAATTGTAGTGCAAATTTGACAAAATATTAATACAAAAACTTTTGACATCTCTCACTAGGGGTCGCGAATTTCAATTTGTGACCGGTCCCTATACACAAATAAAAATAAATAAAATCGCTGTGATTTCCTTCTCAGAAATAAAATAATAAAACTATAAAATAGAAAAAAAAAGGCCATACAAATACATATTATTGATATACCTATATCAAGATATTTATGCATAAATATCATGATATTTATCAAGATATACAGGGTGTCCCACAATCAACGTTACAGGCCATAACCGAAGCCATAACTTTCTTATTTTCAAAAAAATTTGAAACAAAAAAAATTATTAAGGGCTAATTAAGCTCTCTTCATAAATATTAAAAAATCATCCCCTATTTACAACCCTTGACTTTTTTTTTTCAAATGGCACTCCTATTATTTTTTTTTATTTTTGAGAAGCTTATGAAATTACAAATTTGTATGGTGTATAAAAAGTTTGTTTTCCCATGTCTCTTGGGGGAAAAAAATGGGTGTCCCACCCTTAGTCTTATACAGGCAATCACATTTTTTTCTACAAAAATAAAAATATGACAAAAAAAATTAATTGTGTGCAAATTAACCCCTTTTTAAGAATATTAAAAAAATCTTCCCTTACAAACTCATCCCCTAAAAACAACTCTTGCCTTTTTTTTCAAATAGAACCCCATTCTTATTATTTTCATTTTTGATTTTTTTTTTCCAACGAAACAAGGAAAAACAAACTTTTCATACATCATTGAATTTCATGAACTTCTCAAAAAAAAAAAAAAAATTAGGGGTGCCATTTGAAAAAAAAAAGTGAAGGGTTGTAAATAAGGGATGATTTTGTCAGGGGAAGATTTTTTTATATTTTTGAAGAGAGCCTAATTAACCATTAGTCATTTTTTTTTTCAAATTTTTATTTCTAAAAATAAGAAAGTTATGGCCTGTAACGCTGATTGTGGGACACCCTGTATATCAAGATATTTATCACTGATATATTATATCCTGCCAACCCTGCCTAGAATTCTGGTAAGACAAATATAGGGTGGTCCAAAAAAAAACGGAATTTTGTTTTTGAGCTGTAACTTTTTTATTTGTTGACCAATTTTCTTTTGTTTTGGCTTGTTTGAAAGAGAAACGAACAGGCTAACGAATCAGAGTGAAACTTTTGACATTTGAAAAAAATCCAAAATGGCGGAGTCCTTCAAAAATTGCCTAGTTTTGGATAGCGCTGGAAATTTTTTGTGACACCCTGTATAAGTTTTTTTAATAAATTCTCAAAGTTCATCATTTTGCGAACATTTTAAGACCTCGACAGAAAAAATCGGTTGAAAACTAAGTGAAATATTGAGTTTTTTGTAACATCGAATTTCAATTTTTTATATTGACAGCAAAATCTAGGATATACTATTTCAGCTAGAATTTTTTTTTCTACTCCACATATTTTTTCTATTTCGGGCTTGTTCGAAAGATAAATAGATAGGATAAGGATTCGAAATAAAGATTTTGACTGTTGATAAGAAAAAATTCAGATTTCCCAGTTCTTTTAATATAGCCAATTTTGAAAAAGTTAACGATAAGTTTTCTAACAATACGACTAATATTTTTATTTATAAATTTTAAAAAATAAAGTAAACACATTTGAGCGGCAAGAGGCGATATGCCCTCCCTGGGCCTTAGCAACCCATGCTAAACGTCTGCGCCAAGAATCGATAGAATTGGCAATGTTAGGTTGTTCCAGCAGTTCTCCCCAACACTCAATGATTCGGTTGCGCAGCTCTTCTAAATTATCGAACGTAGCCCCATTTCCGTGGACTTTTTCTTCCGAGTCCCCCTATAAAAAGTAATCGCAGGGATTCAAATCTGGGCTATAATGCGGCCAGCGGCCAGTCAACGGGCTTTATGAAATCCGCAACTTGCTCTCTTAGATAGTTGAGAGTAAAGCGGCTACTATGTCACCTGGCTCCATCTTGTATACAAACAGTATCTATCACCTTTATCTCATAAAAAGAGAAATACAAAAACGTACAATTTTATCAAAGTTTTTGTGAGAACCAAAATCTGGATGATAAATGTTAACTAGTTATGAAATAACTGAATAAAAGTGTAGTCTTGAGGTTTGAGCTGTTCAATTTCGGATCAAGGTTCTTTCGGATAGCATATGGCGAACACAAGCTGACAATACTTGCGTGAATCCAGGCGAACTCCTTGGTCGATAATAATTAGTTGTGCTTTGTGGCTCCGAGAAATTGCTGTAGATAGATAATACTATTAAATAACTGCTGAATTTTTCTTTTCCTTTATCCGCTTTTCAAGCTTGGAGGGAAATTCGTAGTTGGTCTTTTTGCGAATTCTTTACTCCGGATAAGGTAAAAATTTTCCCATCACTGAACCAAATTTTTCGGATTTCAGCACGGGCTCTAAATTTATTAAGTGGGACAGTTTAAATGTGTAGTCCTGTTTGCGGCAACACCCAACATTTCTCATACCTTTTCACCGCACAACATATGGTGGAAATAATCCTATTGACAGATATATGTCTATTAATTAATAACTTAAATATTGATTTTTAAACGGGAAAGAATTTTGACAGTTCCCTGCATATTCCTTTTGGAAACGGCCTGTCTAATATTTAAAAAATTTAAAAATAATGATACAGTGAGAGACACTGGTTACAACCTACGCAACCAAAATTTTCCATTACCCATTCCGAAATTTGCCTTAACGAAAAATTCTATTATATATGAGAGCATAAAGATCTTCAACAAGCTGCCAGACGAAATCAAGGGTGTGGAGGACTATGGACAATTTAGAAAAACTTTAAAGAGATTTCTGGAAACCAAAGCCTATTACAGTCTTGGGGAATTCTACTCAGACTAATCTTTTACTGTGATCTTTAAACTGTGATTCTTAAACTGTGATATTTTCAATTTTTCAATTACTAAATTATTTATTTTTAATAGGCTTTAACTGATTCATGTAGTGTTTGACTTTATTTATAGTGATGATTGTTTTTTAGAAATTTTGCTACCATCCCGCGCTAACTCGTCGGTTCTGTGTTGGATTTGCTTAGGTATCTGGACGCTATCAAATCTAGCCCATGATAATGTTCTTTTATTTATGTATTGTAAACTTTTCAGGTGTTGTTGATTGTATATAGAATTCTCACTGTTATTTTATTGCTTGTCTTTCTAGTTTTTTGTCTTATTTTTACTCTCAACACTGACATCTAAATTTTAACTTAGTATACATTTTTAGGATATAGGAAATTAATTTTAGACTTTTTTTTTTTTTTGCTTTGTCAATGGAATTTGCATAATTTTTTGGACAATAAAGTTTTTTGATTTGATTTGATTTGATATATTTGATATGACCCTAGGTCAATTAAAAACGTACCTGAAGAATATGTGATATTTTTTGTATAACAGGGTCAATTCTGGTTTGTGTATTATTTGTTGTACCTAATTCTATTTTATGTTTCCATATGTTAACTACTCATTAAGTATCAAGATCAAGATATTTTTCATAAGACCTACATACTTTTACTAATACTAATACCTACTTACTTAAAAGATCATTTTTGGCTGTACTTGATTTGTTTTATATTATTGTGTAGTATTAATTTTTATAGTTAAATAATATTTATTATTTATGTAGTTATAGTTATAATATAGTACCTAACTTATGCTTTATTCTTTATATTTTTTCTTAAATTGTATTTTAACAGTTAATGGGGTTTTCCCGTAAATAAATAAATAAATAAATAAATAAACTTTACTATCAACTATCTAAGAGAGCAAGTTGCGAATTTTATAGAGCCTGTTGACTGGCCGCTGGCCGACTTATAGCCCAGATTTGAATTCCTGCGATTACTTTTTATAGCGGGACTTGGAAGAAAAAGTCCACGGAAATGGGGCTACGTTCAATAGCTGCGCAACCGAATCATTGAGTGTTGGGGAAAACGGCTGGAACAACGTAACATTGCCAATTCTATCGATTCTTGGCGTAGACGTTTAGCATGGGTTATTGAGGCCCACGGAGGGCATATTGCCCCTTAAATGTGTTTACTTTATTTTTCAAAATTTATAAATAAAAATATTAGTCGTATTGTTGGAAAACTTATCGTTAACTTTTTCAAAATTGGCTATGTTGAAGGAACTGGGAAATCTTAAATTTTTTTCTCAACCAGTCAAAATCTTCATTTCGAATCCTTATCCTATCTATTTATCTTTCGATATTACAAAAAATTCAATATTTCACTTAGTTTTCAACCGATTTATTCCGTCAAGGTCTTAAAATATTCGCAAAATGATGAACTTTAAGAATTTATTAAAAAAACTTATACAGGGTGTCACAAAAAAGTTCCAGCGCTATCCAAAACTAGGCAATTTTTGAAGGAGTTCGCCATTTTGGATTTTTTGCAAATGTCAAAAGTTTTACCGTGATTCGTTAGTCTGTTCATTTCTCTTTCAAACAAGCCAAAACAAAAGAAAATTGGTCAACAAATAAAAAAGTTACAGCTCAAAAACAAAATGCCGTTTTTTTTTGGACCACCCTATATTTGATTTCAGTCTGTCAATAGTATGGCAATACCTGGTAATATGTGATTACACTAGGAAAATACCTGGCAATATGTGGAAATATTTTGTTCTCAATTTTGTTAATAAATGGAAGTAGTTGGCAATAACTTGTTATTAGGTACCTAGAAATATCTGTTAATACATGGAAATATCTCAGTTAGTACTGTTAATCGGTGTAAAAATTTTGTTAGGTGAAAAACCCCTCGGTTTACACTTAAAAAGCTCTCTGTAAAGGCAATGGTAATTTGTCAGTTTCTTGGGCAAAGTATGTCCACTGAAAATAGTTTTAAATTTATAGTTTAGTTTATAGTTTATACTTTCTCCTTACCTTTAGCCGTAGTAGAAATACTTCTAGCATCAGAACTGTACTGCCTGTCCCACAAATCTCTAAAAATTGAACCTCGCCTGTGAGCCATCGCTTCAAATAATTTCCCAATATCCTAAACTCTAGAGAGAAAAATACTAAAAATAGGCCAAATAATGGATAACATTTTCAATCCTGGGTAACGTTTCACAATTCACAGCCGTCATTGGCCTAGAGGGAGGACCATTTAAATTTAAAATTGAATTAAATGAAAAGGAACAATTGGCATTGTTTTTGCGGGCGGCTTCATAAAAATACTTCGGGTTTTTCTGGGACAAAAATAGATAAATGAGGAAAATGGGCCCCCAACAAGGCCCAGGAAAAGTTGTCAAAAGCACAAAACAACACAGCACACAACAGCAAACAGCTGACAGGACTAAGGATGTGCTTTGGATCATCGTTTTCAAAACAAAAGTATCGATATTTCTAATTGACATCGATAGCTAGTTTCGGCTTGCTCGGAGTCACTCCGTTCACTCTAAGTGCTCCGTAGTCCGTAGGTAGTCTCTCCGTGCGTTCGTTATTTTGGTCCGAGTTCTCCGAGCTTGACTTTACCGTTCGTTTATTTAAAAAGTGTACTCGGTGCAGCCTCATTAGCGTTCGTTTATTAAAATTTCTGGCACTTTAATACAGCTTTCAACTGCTCTGTTCGCTCAATGGTCACGTGATTACGGCTCCGCTCAGCCCGCTCTGCTCTTTGAGCAAAATACCGAACGCAAGGTCTATATTCAAAGGTAGTCTCGCTCTTAACTTCACGGCGTCGAGTAAATTGAGCAATGCCAATGGAGCTTATTACCAAAACTTCCACTTGAGTAGTAGAGTTACACTAACTATCAAAGTTAAAATCTGTTTTTTTTTAAAGATAATTCCCCAAGTCAAAAATTTAGTAACTATGTTGGCAACACAAGCCTTTTCTACATGAAAAATTTGATAGCATTGACAATTTTACATTGTATTGCCAACCTAATGTCAGTTTGACTTTTATCTTTAAAAAAAAAACGCACTTTTCCATAGTATTTGTTGTTGTCGTTTGCGATAAGGGTGAAGTGTGGACTATGGACTTATTTTGTTATGTAGAGCAGGCATAATCTCTCAAATTGGTAAAATTCTGCACAATCTCGCAACATTGTCTGAGGACTAGAAAATGGGCAAATGGTACTTCACCGCGCCAATAGTCCAGCGAATTCGATAGTACCAAAGTGTAATACCAAATAATCAGTAGAGCTTTGCAATAAACACGAATAAAGTTAATTATTAAAACGCGAGTCGATAGTAAGACAAAGAGTTGTGTTTAAGTGCTGTGACTGTACCTACTGTACTCTGTTTCCACACAAAAAGGGTCGAAAACAGAGTGTGCGAAAAAGTGACTCGGAAAAATTTTCAATTCTCTGAGCAACTTTCCCCTGAATCACTCTCATCTGAATCAGATGAGAGATAATATTGGTTCTACTTCTACAGTCTTTTCCAAGAGGTTGTCAAGGTTTACCTACCAATAGTTCTTTTCACGTGGTTCCGGTTTAACTAACCGGGTTACGAAACGCTTAGAGATATGACATACTTACCGTTTTTTAACCCGGTTACAAAGTGACGTGATGGATATCCTTGATGGATATCTACCACTCGAATTTGAGAGGTATGTTGCGGTTTGTTAAATCGGAGCCACGTGAAAAGGGTTTATATGTTTTGTTCTTCCTTTACTATATTATATATGTTTTTCCTACAACTGTTGAACTGTTCCTGAAAATAGAGTTTTTCCCACGCTAGCGGCTAGGCAACCTCTGAAATTTGAAAATAGGGTTTTTTGCACAGTGTGCGACAAACTTTTTATTTTTCACCAATTTTTGATGTCGATTATTTGTTTTCTAATTCTAACAATTAAAAATTACATATTTAATTGTTTTATTTTGCAGTTTTCGTGCTGAAAAGATCTTCGAGTAGCCTTAAAAAGTCCTTCCACAGTGGCACTAACCCAAGTGGCTTTTAAAGTCTAGTATTTGATTCTGATGCAAGGATATTCTTTGAAAATTTCCAATCGTGAATTTTCAAGTCATCAGGCAGTATTAAGAGAGATTTATAACACTGCCCCCTTTCTTAAAGATGTTAATTCGCACCAAGAAGCTTCTCTTGATCACATCTAGTTGGTGTATTCTTGATTCCCGCCTCTGTATGATGGAGCCAGTCTACGTGTTGGACTTTATGAGAAAGTTAAATCATGTACACCAAGTCGTCGTTGATCTGTGGAATCTTTGGCTCAGGCTCAGTCCCTTCTTTCTTTCGCTGTGGGTGATATAACTAGCGTCGCCATTATTAAATGTGCTCAAATGACTGCCGTCTGTCGAGTCTCATTCTGTCACTGCTCATATAAGCTATTCCTGGCGAAGTCATTACTTACCTACCTACTTTTGAGTCTGAGCCATCCTACAAAGAAGAACAGCGACATAAACTGGAATAAGTAGAGCTTCATCTTCATCGGTTCTGCTGGTCTACCAAACATTAGATCTATAGGAAGCTTTACTTCTCTTCCATCAGTGAACGTCATCGATGATAAAGTTGATTGATTCGTGCTGAGAGCTTCTATAAGCCAGATGGAAAATGGGCACCCATCAGTGTATCCCAAGATCGCTAATGCTCATCCAATAAAACATCGAAAGGTAGGTAATCGAAGGTAGGTACGTATTGACTGCGATATACTTGTATTTGTACCCTGAATCTGTTGTAGAATGAATGAATACAATCTATAAGGTATACTTTAAGCTTTGCAGGAAAGATCTACCCATTACCCCGAATTGCTGAAACCCTCAACTCAAAACCCTGTCAGGATCCAAGTGGTTCTCAACTTCAGTGCGGATCACGTGACTTCCATCAAAATTTGCTCTTTTTGCTCGCAGATGCAATTACCGAACCCAGCCTGCATACGTGTTTGGATGCACGTGTCACCTGCCACCTTCAAGAGTAAAAAACGCTCTAGAAAAAATTGAATTTTGCAGAACTGTGCCCCAGGAGATCCATCAAATCTGGAAAACTATATAGACCCATAAGCCGCCTATCTCAGATATAGGTACAAACTGTTTATGAGAATAATCACCAACCGCCTAGAAAGGAAATAAGATGATTACCAACCTAAAGAAAAAACAGGCAGAAAAACCAGGCAGAAAAAGCTACAGCACTATTTTCCCACAATAAGAATACTAAATCAAAAGCCGACCGAACATAACTAACATTACAACATAGGTAGCAGTCATCGATTTAAGGAAAGCTTTCGACACTGTCGAATTCTGGGCGATAGAAAGAGCTATGAGAAATACAGTCCTCGAAAGATGTGTTCAAGGAACTACATTCGGAAAAATAGAGGATATGTTGATCTAGAGAAAACCTCAATAATTTAAGATTCGTTGATGACATAGGCCCAAACGAAAACAGACTTCGAAGAAATCATGCTGAAATAATTACTCCAAGAATGACCAAGAAACCAAGCACATCGGATTAGAAATGAACGTATGAAAACAGGAGTTTATGAAAAATGAGCAAACAGATAGGGACACAATATCCATAGAATACCAACAGGCAACAGGTGGAAAAAGTGAACTCCTACAAGTATCTAGGACAGGAAATAATACTTGGTAAAGTCAATCAAGAGCTTGAAATTATTAGGTGAATACGACTGGGATGGGCGGCATATGGTAAAATGCGCCACATACTCTGGTCCAAATTACCTTTGAAGCTGAAAACTAAACTCTACAATGAATGTATTCTATCAGGTAGTTGCCTATGGAAGTGAAACATGGACGCTCGCTCACAAAGAAAATCCTAAATGAGCTGCAAGTATATCAGAAAGCAATCGAAAGGAGAATTATAGGTATTACACTGAGGGATCATAAGACCAACGAGTGGATAAGAAACCCAACAAAGGTCAAAGACATATAGAATATGCGCCCTCAAATGGAACTGGGCCGGCTACGTAGTGAGAAGATAAACACAAGCAACAACTGGAGCCGAAAAGTAATAAGATGATGGAGACCCTGGGAGGAACGAAAAAGCGTCGGCAGAGCTCAACAACGCTGGTACGACGACATCAAGTGAAACTAAACTGGTACCAGGTCGCACAGCATAGAAATACCTGGCAAAATCTGAGACAGGCCTTATAACCTGAGGATAGAGAACAGCTAGGAAGAAGAGAAGAAGAGTGCCCCATTTGGACAATCACGAATTTAAAAAACACTATTACTATCGGTAGCAAGGTGGGTGCCACTATTTTATTAATTACAACACATTATCATAGTAGATTATACCACGACTCACGAGTCAATAATGATATAGTGAAATTATTTGAACAGTGTATGCACGTGATCAATGACGTCGAAATTATTGCCAATTGCTGTTTGTAAGAAATTGAAATTCGTTTCAAGCTGAGAGCTCATTTTCCTTTTCATTCAACCTTAGTTAAAAAAAGACAGAACACTGTTGGCATTTAACCGAATCGGCCGATAAAATGGCATTTAGGTTGGCACTCGTGGGTTATGTTGCCAAATATTGCCGCAAATCTGCGGTTACTGATTTTAATAATTTGAAATTATTCCTATTTGTGTATCTATAAAATGCCAAAGTCATTGAATAGTCAGAGTCAGAAACTCGTTGCGTCTCTAATTAGTTACTTTGAATAGGAACGAGATAATGGGGGCCACTTTTTGCCATTAAATATCGTTAGAGAGGTGAAGTATATTGATACTATCAAATATAAAATCTTCTGGGGCTTTGATTGGGAATATTTTTCCAGCGTGTTGCAGCTGCACTGAATATTGGTATAACCAATGTGAGTAAAATCCAATGTAAAATCTCTCAAAAAGTTAGGGACAATTTAGCGTTAAATTCACCAAAGAAAAAACGTCCACATAAGAAGCGGGTTACGAATCAAGATCACCTTGATGTTAGCTCTATTCGCAATCTTTACAAATACATAAGCACTACGCGTTTGATAATGACACTTTTGAGTTTGTTCAGGTACCTATATTGTTTCCATGGTACTACTTATTTAATTTGAGAAATTTTGTGATTGGGAATAATGACCATTAATCCCTGCGGGAATAATATAAGGCATTATACTGCCAAAATCATATATAGGTATAATACTTACATTATATGTCCGTCGTAAATAATAGTAGATTATACCAGGAGTCAATAATGATAGCTATTATTCCCGAGGAATATTTACGAACTGAGCCGCGTTAGCTGCGAGGGATTAACATTCCGAGGGAATAATGCCCATTATTGCGAGTAGTATATTCTACTTTATTTACGACAAATTAATTTATTTGAGATTTTCAATGAACAAAAAGGACCCACATTTCTTATGGAAAAGTGATCTATGTGG